AAACTTGAATGATAATTCAGGATTTTCGTATAGTCTACGTTGTTTTCGTGCAGTGATCTCCGTGTTGCTGGATTTCACGGATAGGCTGCGACTTTTAAGTTGCTCACCACAAAGCGAAACTGGGGTTGGTAGATATTATCGAAAACCATCACGCGGGCGATGAATTTTATTAGTGATTGAATGGTTTCGTTTCAGTTTACTTACTGGTCATAAACATTTATTTACATGTTATAGCTTTTACAATAAGGAAGAATATTTTTTTTAAACAGGTACGACCTTTCGATCACTGGTGCGATCTTTCCCTGTTTTTGAGAATTATCGAACCAGTGATCGAAACGCCGTACCTGTTTAAAAAAATTTATTCTTCCTTATTTTAAAAGCTGTAACTTATTTTTTTAAGTATTTGTTACATTGTTTGATTCGGATGGACGAGTCAGAGTCGACGACAACCTGGTGAACACTTTAGAGATGATTGTGTCACCCAACCGTGATTAATACTAGTGGTGGAAGTATTATGGAGCGAGTCTGTTTTATCAGATTTGAACTTGGTCTATTGGTAATGGTTAAATGGGCCACGAATGCTTTGTAATACTGTGACACTGCCTAAATTTATAGAGTCTTAATGAAAAGAATCATATTTGCTTTAACATAATAAAGCACCATGTCATACTCCAGAATGTATCCAGCAGTGGTTAAAGACAACTCCCATAATCTGCTCATATTTCTGCCCTCAATCCAACTGAACCGCTTTTGGAACTTTTTGAAGTGGGTTAAAGGAGTAGATAGAACAGATCTCCAAAACTAACTACATACTGGGGTGCTCTGCAAAGAGAGATGCCATGTATTCCATCAGACATATAGCAATAATTGGTAGCAAGTGTTTATAACCAAGTGTAGATTGTGGTTAATGCATGCCAGAAACGTAGAGTCACGGGACCTCAGCGATGAAACATGAAATCCTCTTCTTAAAATGCTCTGTACCAAGACGTTTGATTATACAATACCTGTGTTACGGGTTTTTATATATCAAAAAGTTATACAAATTACAAAAATAACGATAAAATCTGCACTAAGCTTCAATAAATTTCAAGTTTCAAGCAATTTATAATTTGTAAAACTAATCACAAATATTCGGCATTCATCAACAACAGGTGCAGGATAAAAATATTATCCGAAATAATAGTGTTATATTACAAACTTTATATATGCGTGGGTGAGTTTATCTGAATGTAATATACTGGATAATAAATATGCCTTTATATAACTTCGAGTGTAATTAGTATGAAACTACCTCTCCTTAACATGTTTATCCTTTTTATTTTATGTCGGTAGTAAAAATCATCTTTTTCAACATTTTTTAAAACCGATTGGGGATTTAAAAACATAAAATAAATGGTCAGTGTAATTGTCTTTTAGCGACGTGTTGCGGAATGAACATGGTTTATTGTGTTTTGGCTTTCTAAATTGACATGAAATGTTTTGTTTTTTTTTACCAATTGATTAGTTTAGTTACATTAGTAACCCCCTGGTGGCTCAGCGGTGGGCAGGGTACAGGTAGCCCATTCTGTAGCTTTGTGCTTATCAAGAGACAAACGAACAAACTTACATTAGCAATAAATGTCGCTAAAAATACGGCACGTTGTTGCCACAGAAACATTTTAAATTACATTATTTGCATCAGTGATTCAGGGGTAAGTCTGGAGATTTATAATGCAATAGATCGGGTTTCGATACTCGTGGCGAGAAGAGCATAGAAAACTTTGTGCTTAACAACAAACAAAGCAAACATTGCCCAACTGCTGTTAATCCTTCCCGCTTAGCTATACGTATTTAGAGTGACGTCAAACAATCTATGACATATTTTTTTCGAAAAATAATATTTTATGTTATATATTACATGTTCAAAAAGAGAACAATGAAAATATGGTACATTGGTTAAAGTGTTTGCTACCATTTAGTGGGCTCTTTTTTTTTTGGAGGGGAAGTGAGTATAGCATGATATTTATATAAGTTCGTCCTTAATCTCAAATAATCTGTTTCGCCGACATATAATTCGCAATTATACGAAAATTCACAACATGAGAGTTATACCCAGGGATTTTTGATCGATAGTGTAAATCCACTCTGTGTATGTCGAACTGCAATTACTGGTTGAGTTCCACCCTCCACCTATCGGCTAGGAGTTAGTTTATGTTCAGCTTCAGCCATTAATCATTCACATAACGCTTACTTCTCACTTCCCGTCATTATATTCAAGTTCCTTCAGTCTCCGAACCTCACTTGAATCATATTTAAAGAAAATACATCAGCAGAGTGTATAGAAATGGTTTTAATTTAAATTCAAATATTCGAAATGTCACAACTGAATGGCTGAATCCACATCATTAATTCTACCCTTTTATCTAATAATCTGTCTTCGGTAAGAAACGAACTTAAAGGTCAATAATAGTGTATGTGATGGTTCATTCGTAAGTTTTAAAGAGAATCAAGAAAGGGGAATAACAGCGTCAAATTAAAAAAATAACGAAAAGACAATAATCCACTTAGTATTATTACAGTACACTAGAGGGTATGTATAATTTAAAAGTTTGGAGACGAATCGAATGAGTAAAGAATAAAACTATTATAAATGCACGACGTTTCGAAAAGATTATGTCATACTCAGATATTTAGACTTTCTTTCATATAGTATCTTAGGTCGCACACTACCTGTTAGAGCAATATAGGGTCAGCTGAAAACCGTAGTTTTTTAAGCAGAAAAATGTTCCTTGATCCTTGTAGTCTGAAGTTTCAACCATTTTATTCTGAAATGGGTTAATATGTAAACTTATTAGGGGGGGTGACAAAACATAACTGCTTTTTCTTGAACGAAAACTACTTACAGAGAGAAGAATGACGAAGATGATAATGAAAACAAATGAATTGCACGGCCCCAAAATGCGGTCCACGATTCTTTTTTGGGCAACAACGAGTGTGAACGAACTTCAGAGATAGCAGTTAAGAGTGGGTTGTATATAAAGGACCGCATTTTGGGGCCGTGTAGTTCATTTGTTTTCATTATCATCTTCGTCATTCTTCTCTCTGTAAATAGTTTTCGTTCAAGAAAAAGCAGTTATGTTTTGTCACCCCCCCCCCCTAATAAGTGTCTCGTGTAAGGGTTTCTCCAGCACAGTGTAGAGACTTTCTATGGTGTCAGTCCGAAGTTAACTTAGCACATAGAAGTTTCAACGACGTTATTATGTCGGTATTCTAGCTTTGAGAAAATAGCTATAGATATTGAATTACATTAATACCATGACATCAGGCAAAGTTTAGTAAAATGTTTCTCTATCTACGATAAAGAAAATCTTCGTATCTCTCCACTTCATTTCGGTTTTTTTTTGGGGGGGGTTGACGATCATTGTTAGATTTTTTTATGCAATAGCGCATTTTCTGTATTATTTGCAAGAAAGTTAAAAAAATACCCATGCGTACCTCCAGGAAGTTAAATGCCGTACACGGTTTGGTCGACTCAGACATTCGTTGGATTTAATGTCATTTTTACAACGTAAGAGAGAAATCGCTATTTGTATAAAAACAAGTTATTGTTAGTTTCTGATGAAACAATGAAGTTTAACTCTTCACAAAGGCAGAGTATAAAGTACTGAACTTAATGAACTGAATGGAACAACTCTTCGAGACAGAATAACATTATAAGTGCAGACAACGGTTTCTGGAACACTGCAGTTTCGTGGATATGATGCTTATTGCAGAATCGCCAGGTAAGTTTACGAACTATCTTGTACCAAATATGTAAGATTATTTTTTTCAGGACCGTTTTCGGAATTGTAGGACAAGTGTCAACCTAAGCGAAGTACAATGTGTAAAATATTTAGACTTCGTTAATTGAGAATATCACAAATTAATTCAAATACATGTTATATTTTATAGAACATGTGAAGTGAATTTTCATCAGTGAACAAAACAACAAGCGAACTCATGATCACAATGATGTCGCTCTTTATTGCTTTAGTATCTGATGATGTATATATGTACACAGATATTTTTGAGAGCAGTGATAACAATTTTTGGAAAAAATCACGATGGAATGAAAACTAATTACAGAATCTAGAAGTACCTATACATTAATTACAGACTTTGTAAGACTTCTCAAAATTATACACACTTATAGCAAATGGTTTCTCATAACAAGTGCAAGATATAATAAGATAAACTTTCTGGAATGCGTGCAATATATATACAATTTGTAGTTGTGAACACTCGAAATTGTTTTAGCCATATATAATTCTGAGTTTTATTTGTTTTTCTAGTTTCAAAGAAAGTTTACTGTTTCTTTAGTGTCTCAGTTTTCTACTGTAGTTGCATGGATGTGGATAATTGATTATCTGCGAGTTATGAGCGAGTGTTATTTGTAAAATATGTTAAGTGATGTACGATTATTGTATGTTATATCAAAGGTAAGTTTATACGTCATCATACCCGCACGTGTTCTCCAAACTGAGTTTTTAAAACCTAAGCTATTTTACTGAGGATTTTATACATAGCTTCCAAAACTTTTATTGTAAGTAAGTAAAATATAAATATTTCTATGTCTTGTATGTACGAGCATATTACAAGAACCTCATGTAATAACCCTTATTCGTGAAGCTGAACACTCAAATAGATTATACATTCTTACTTGCAAACGTCACTTTTTCACTTTTGCAAATCAATACGATATGGATAGATAAATATATATGTACTAGACGTACTTCCGCAGGGTCCCCGAAACTGTTCTGTTTCAATAGTAAATAAAACCAAAACTGACAATAACAAATGCATTTATTTATTATTTTTGAAGCTCGTATGTCATGCTGTGTTATAGCCTACAGAATGCATAATTCTTCTCGTAATTCATGGCATGCGCACGTTTTTACTGACATCACGAAAGTACAAATTGCAACGTTAAGCGTTTCTTATGTGACGTAATTTTATGGTCTACTGACTAACTGACAGACAACACACTACTGTATAGTGATGTGAGTGGTTAAAACAGGTGACCCCTGCAAGCGGCTTTCGGCCCCCTTTTGGGGAAATTACGGTAAATCGTTTACAAACAGAAATAATATACTACCACACACTTTCAAGCAAGTCACTCAAAAGTACGACGAAAACTTTTAAAAATTAAAACAAATTCACATTATATTAATAACGACTGCGATCCGAACCTCACTTGTTTGCTTAACTGTTTTGGCGCATCTGTAGCTCATTGGCTTGTTATAGATACGTCAAAATTGTCATTTATTTAAAGATTTTCTGAATTGATTAGAAAAACGTCCCTATAAGGTTACATTAAGTGAAAAATGTGATTTAACACAAGACATCTTGAGTGATTATACCATTGGACTGTTCAGTGCTTACATCATTCATTTATTCTTCGTTCCTCTGGTGATTTAAAAAGGAGATAGACAGGCTTCTAATAGTTCCCTGGTTTCGCATCTAAAAAAGGTTACGTATTTTTTGTATTTCCCATACAACTCATGAGTTCGGTATTATACATAACAACACACTGGAATAAGTCTAATCGAAAAGTTATTGCATTGAGTTTGTTTTTTATTTCTTTTTCTGTTATTAATGTTGGTGACAATGACAAGACATGATCACTTGCGCTTCAAATAATGTGGAATGAAGTAATTCACTATTATAGGTCGTATATCTTTGGTCTATATGTATGAAATGTTTTTGGATATCTTTCGTTTTAAAAAGATATTCCATATCAGAACATAACTACGTTTGGAAAACAAAGATCAGTATATTACTGTTGTCAACCAGATACCCACAGGTAACTGTTGATAGCACTGATGCAGCTTTATAAAAGATTAAAATATATTTTTCTGCATTTTAGCATTGCCCTTCAAGCACTTCTTGTGTATCATAACAGTTCACTTACTGACCTTCACAGAGTTCTTCTCTTACAGAAATATCTTGGTTATGTTTAGAGACACCTTGAGCCAACACTTTACTTGCACATTGTCATAAAAAATACGTCTTGTTCTTCTTTATTAGGGTTCGTACTAGAAAGCATGAATCATTCTTGTCTTCAAACTTTATACCGTGATTTTTACAATTCACCTGAAAGACGTGAGTGAACTTTAAAAATCTGATCCAGATGGAACGATATTTTCGGTACTTTTGAAGCTCGTGTGGATAAGTTCATGAAATGTAAGTTCATCATTGTTATTTACACTATTTATAAGTTTGTGGATCTGTTGGAAGACAAGAAAACAACACGCATGACGTAAAATTGATTGAATCGTATGTTAGCTGTCTCTGGATTCACCATAACTAGTTATTTGTGGATAAACATCTTGAATACCGTTTTCTCTTGTCGCCAACCGCCTTTATCTTGTGGGAGCTTCAAGTGGTTTTACTATACCCTCTGCAACAACAACAACAAAAAAAATGTGTGTTAATCACTCTTCAATATTTTAAGTAACAGCTCTAATAAGGGGCAGAGAATGGTACTTTATTTTTTTGGGATGAGTGGGTGGGGCATCGAGAAACCATTTAGTGACCGTGCCAACAAAAGTATTGTATAGTGTTTTTGCGCCTACATCTCTTTGATGTCAGCCCAGGGCACATTTGGATGTGCCATTGTGTTGACAATGTTTTCATTCTATTTTTTACGAACTTAGATTATTGAGTTCTAAGAATATACTTCATATTTGGCATCTCGAACTGGTCCATCGGGAAATTTCCCGCTGACCTCTGTCCATTCCGCTTCTGTCTCCAACAATTAAATGATGTCATTTTTAAACACATTAAAAAAGCACATAAATCACTAATAAAATTTTGAAACATTCTCAAAAAGTCCGTCTCACATCTTTAAAACACAAAGTAAATAAAATTATGTGACGCATAAGCTGATCTGTGATCATAAAACTGCTTTATATGTCCGCAAGAAAAAGAGAGAATAATTCTAATTTCACATACTATTTTAATTTTTACAGAACTTCTATTACGTATTTTTGATCGTTAAGTTATGCCTGCTTAAGTAACGTAAATAGTATATTAACTTACCCTTGAAAACTTTAAGAATGGCTTCACATACAAACTTGAATTGACTCTATAAAAGAAGGATAATATATATATATATATATAGTTTTAGAAAAGTGTAAGTGTAAAATCGTACTCGATTCGAGTAGAAAAATAAATACAGGAAACTTTAAACTTTTGGATGTAATGTTTTATCACAAAAGTATAAAGTTTCTTGTGCTTATTTTTCCTACTCAAATCGTGTACGATTTTAGACCTACATTTGCTTACAGCCAAAAATATGCGTTATCTCAAAACTACAGCACATTCTTATAAAAAGTTAGTTTTCAGTTTTAAGGTAAAACTAATTAGAATTGATTATCTTAGTTAGATCTTTATGAACTAAAGATTTAAATATATATATATATATCTAAAAAAAAACAGTATATCTTGTGGCGCCATCTGGTTGGAACAGATATATTTATTTAAATTCCATTACAATCTTCTGGAACTGTAATCTGAGCTTTAATCATTACTTACCGCACTATATATGTAATTTACCTTTAGAACACTACTTGCCACATCTTTCCTATGAATTCTTTATTTCAAATATTCCCACAAGACATGCATTTTGTAGCCCTAAGCAAAAAAATATATTTAAAATTTATGTATATTAGTTTAGATAAGGTAACGATATTAATTGTTATCTGTTTATTGCTGGCATGCGTAAAGACTTAGTAATATGGATTGTGTATTGAAACTAGACACTTGACAGGTATCGTTGACACTGGGATGTTTTAGGTATTACAGCAGTATGAAGAAACCGTGATTTGTGCCATAACAGGTGTCTTTCTCTAGAATAAGTACAATATGATTGTGTAAGCTGTTTTAATGTGTCTTTTCTTCTGCTCAAATTTACCAATTTAAAACTAATTCTACCATTAAACTTCCTTCCTCTAGTGTTTAGTTTGTGCTGACGTGATTTACTGAGCCATCTGTTCTTCCAATCTCAGCACTGGAAATAGAGCAGAACTTCTTCAGTTAAGCATTTCTTATTCTAATCTATTATTAGGTAGCTTTATAAAAGCTTCAGACTCTCTTCTAATTTTCAGTTTTCACTTTTGTTTTGTGGCTATATCGTTTTCCACTAATTTATTTCTGTTTCTAAAACAAACAACTATATGAACAAATAAATTCTGGATTAGGTTTAAATAAATTATACAGAAATAAAATACAATGCTCAAGCTGTGATGTTTTTAGCATAGATTAAAAAAGTTACAACTGAGAGTAGAGGGATAGCTTTTAGTAGTACTTAACCATAAGATCAGTAGTATACTTAATTTAATCCCTTTTGTCCCATTCTTAGTTTAAAGTAAACTATGCATGTAAGTTTTTCAGCTTAAATATCATATTTACTTATTGATACTTTCATTGACTTTGGCCCGGCATGGCCAGGTGGTTACGGCGCTCGACTCGCAATCTGCGGGTCGCGGGTTCGAATCTCCGTTACACCAAACATGCTTGTCCTTTTATCCGTGGAGGCGTTATAATGTGACGGTCAATCCCACTATTCGTTGGTAAAAGAGTAGCC